GACGGGTCTCTCTGAGTTGCCGAGGCTGGCCTTGAACTCGCGATCCTCACAACTGTTTGGGCAGCAGTTGCCCTCTTGCCTTCTGCAGGGCTGGGCCCGTCACTTCCCCAGGAAKGCAGGAGAGGGGCTGGCCCACAGCCCTAATCAGATAGGTGGCAGGTGGCGGCTCTGTGTGGTCCTCTTGTCACGTAACTCTGGTAGGACGGAGCCCCTCTCCTGAGGCCCCTAGGTGTCTGGATTCCTCTTCTGGACGCAGAGGTACCGAGCTGCTCAGCAGGAGGGACAGCAGTCCTGCCACAGGAGTCCCTCTCCCTGAGCCCAGAGGGACTCGCCCCTCTGGGCACCTGTGTGTGAAGTGGCTCCAGTACAGGGTTTTGGTTCCTAGTTCACTACTCACTCTCCAAGCCTTGGAGTCCCTGTTTATTTWAAAAAAAAAAAAAGCAAATAATAATAGAACTCACTTCAGAGGGCTCTGGGGAGGAAGGAGTTGAGCGTTTCATGCTGAGTGTCTGGCACAGTTCCCTGCTCAGACTGTGTGCTTAGGAAAAGTTTGTTGAATGAATAAATGAACGATGTGTAATTTAAAAAACTTTTATTGAGCATGTATTATCTAAAACCTTCCTCATGCATTAACCTATGTAAACCCCACGGCAACACCAAGGATGGTACTCTTATCCCTCCCTTCTACAGATTAGGAGGCTGAGGCTCAGGGAGCCCTGTAGGACCTTGTGCATAGGTTCATAGCTGGTCAGGATGAACACGGCACCCGCGGTCCTGCTGTCTGCTCCCTCACATCTCACTTTCGTCCCCTCACCCTAGGAGACAGGGGCCAGGATGGACCCCAGAGCCAGCTGTGAGACCACCCTCCCGGCCTTACACAGAGCCGTCTCGGCTGCACGATGCTCACAGGCTCTGAGGACCACTGGGTGCTCCGACTGGGCAAGGAGGGGCGGCCTGATTCTGCTGGGCCGTGAAGATTCTGTAACGGGGGGGGGGGGGCTGGAGCTGCCGGACCAGGGACCCACCACCCAGATGGCTCTGGCTGGGTCTGTCCCACCTCGTGGATGGCAGTTTGCCTGGGAAGACAGGGCTGTGGGTGAGGCTGGGAGGCGTGGAGGCTGTGGGTGAGGCTGGGAGGCATGGAGGCTGTGGGTGAGGCTGGGAGGCGTGGGGGCTGTGTGGGGAGCAGCCCCCAGGGCCACATCCATGGTCCATGACCGGCAGCCTCTGAGGTCTGACGCTCCTCCTCCAGGGCTGCACATGTGCGGCTCCTCCACATGGACCCTCCCGCCCATCCCATCTGTGCCCTCATCCTTCAGTCCTCGGGGCTCTCTGGCCCTGCGGGAGGAGCTCCCTGACCCCTGGGCTGTGGGTGGGTTTCTGTCCCTCCTCCTAGGTCCTGTCCTCTGAGAACGGCCTTGCACATCTACACGTGGGACACTGGGGACAAGGCTGGGATCCTTGTCACCAGCACCCTGCACAGTCCCTGGCACACAGTGGGCACTTTATGCATATCTAATGAAGGGGCGAATAGCTGAGACGGACGGATTTGAATGACTCTAATGCGAGCCTCGGTTTCCTCTTCTGTGGGTTGGCCTGCAGAGTGGCTGTGCAGGTGGAGACAAAGGACGTGGAGATGTGGGGTACACAGGCAGAAGTCAGAATGGGGGTTACTGTGATCTGTATGGAGGAGAAAGAAGCACGGGAAATGAGACAGGTGCACAAGGCTGTTTGCAGTGTCCAGCACATAGTAGGTGCTCACCAAATAGAAGACATCATCATCAGCATCCTCATCACTGTTATTATTATCAGAATGCACATTCCCAAATCAGAAGGATCACACAGGATGAAGGAAATTTTCTGTAGGTAAAAATGGAGAGGTGTGATGCCTCACATCACCCAGGGCTAATGTCTTGGCAGAAGTTCGCATCATGGTGACTTTCCTGGGCTGCTGGGCACTCCTGGTCCTCCTCAGGTCTCTGTTCTGTGCCATGAGGGTCTGGGTCCTGCACCTTGGAGTCTGACATTGTGTGCTGTTGTGAACACCATTCACCAGAAGTCACCATGGCAACAGCTGCTGTTCAGCCTGAGCAAGGCAAGCTCCCCAGCCCTCCAGGACAGCAACTTGTCCCACGCGGCTGCCCTGTTCTTGATTGAGCAGCGCCCTCTAGTGGCAAGATGTGGATGTGGGAACTACAGGCAGCGCCTCGGTGAAGGGTCAGCCTGGGATGGGACAGGCAAAGGCCCTGGTGTGGCTCAGCTGGGATGGGGGGCTGGAAGGAGGCAGCAGAGATTCCTCAGCTCAGGCCAAGCTATTCTCTCCCAGGGGAATAGCATCCAGAAGGGCCCCCGGTCGCCACCGGAGCCTCGGAGCCTCCCTCGGGGCTTCACCCTGGCTGACTCCATTTGGCGGGGTGACCTCCGCCACTTCCCGGGCTTCTCTGTGAATGTCGTCAGGTTCACCTGGCAGTGGAGGGTCTCCTTCCCAGGAAGGTGCCTGGATCCTCAGAAGTGGGAGCGGCTGGGATTTGAAAGGGTCAGGAGCTGGCAGGAGGGACCCTCTGGGATCCAAAGGTGACAAGGTTACAGGAGGCCTTGGGCCTGGAAGGAACTTCACCCTTTTATGTGAGAACGTTCCACTGCACTGTCCACAGCCTCCAGCCGGGACAGAGGACCAGGCCTTTCCCCTGGGACTGCGGGGACACACGACTAGAAAAAGGAAGGACTGGAACCTTCTGCCCTACCCTGGCCTTTTTAAAATTGTGGAGTTTGGACCTTCCCGCACCCCAGGGTCTGAGTATCAGCAGAAGATAGAATATACATCGGGGGGACTCTGATGTTGGAGCCGCAGCCCTCAATCCGGGCCCCAGGGCTCAGCTGGGGAGGCTCTGGGAGGCGCCCTGTCCCCGGACCTCCTGGAGAGCACTGGCTCCCAGGGCCTCTCCGGAACTTGCTCCCCACCAGTGGGTCTGGGGAGCCGCCCTGGAATCTGAATTTCTAAAAAATCTCCAGGAGAGGCTGTGAGGGCTCCCAGATGTGGACAGCAAATTTAATCCAGTCTTTTCTCCTCTTCACTCATCCAATGGGGACACCAAGACGAAATGACTTGTCTAGACCTCACAACTAGCTGGTGGCAGGCTGGGACTCACACCTGGGCTTCCACGTCACAGGTGGCCACGGCGTCTGGTGCTTTGTGGGACTGTCCACTTCCTAGATCCCCCGCCCCCGCCTGACCCTCAGACCAGCCGTAAGGAGCACACATGGATTCCTGGAGCCACTTCTGTGATTCAAGGGGCACAGAGGTGCTGGGGACATGGTGTTGCCCTCTCCAGCCTCTGGATGAGCCCACTTTTTGACAAGGGCTGGGAGGGGCTGCAGGCCCCTCCTCTTTTTCAGCCCCCCTCCTCCAGCTGAAACCCTCCCCTGTCCCCAGGCACCCTGACCCCTCTCACCAGAGCATTCCAGTGGAAACCACCCCACATGGTTTAGATTCTGCTACTCCAAACTCATCAGCATTATGGTTTTTGTAACTCCTGCTTGATGCCCAAATTTGCAAACGCAAATTTTTTCTTTTATTTAAAAAAAAGTTGGGGTCTTAAAACAAAAAATGATAAAGCATTTCAGAGGCACACACTTCTGCAGACGGGAAGCAGGTGAGGAAGGGCTCTAGCTGTCCTCAGGGAGGCGAGATGAGGGGAGTGAGGGCCAGGTAGCAGCAGTGCTTGCTGGGGACCCCGTCTGCCAGGTGGAAGGCAGGTGTCTCTGTCTTCGGTGGAGGAGGTGAGGTTTCACCAGTCGAGGCTTCACCCCAACCTGCAGCCTCTTCCTTCCCCACCCTGGGCCCTCGGGGCTCAGACTCTTTCTCTGCCCCCCTCTGCTCCCAGCTGCTGGACCCTGTGGCCAGTGCTAACCAGGAGGCCTGTCTGGGGGTTCTGGGGAGCAGGGCCTGCTGAGACAGACTGACAGGCAGTGAGAGCTTGGTCTAACCTGGAGCTGTGGGGTGTTGCTGTGAGACACAAAGCCTCGGGGGTATCCGGGGGGTATCCTACGATTGTGGTGGGTAGGTGGGGTCTCCTTGGCTTCTGACCCATCAATTTCCCTCCTTTCTTCCCTGAGAGATCCTCCAAGTTTCCTCTCAGCTCTAGATGTGCCGAGCAGGGCCACCGCCAAGAGCCAGCAGAACATGTGGTCCCCTTGGGACTTCCCCGGGCCTCCATAGTAGAGCCGGCAGGAGGTGGGGGTGGGGACGAGTCCCACTCTGCTTCCATGGCTCTTCTGGTAAGAACTGCTCATTCCCCCAGCAGTGACGCCCCAGCGGATCCAGTGCCGGGTCCCTGGAGGCCCTGGGAGTGCGTCAGCTGGCAGGGRTGGGCCCCTGAGCAAGGCCCTGGGCTGAGCTGGTGAGCTGCAGCAGGGGCCCCAGGGGCTCCCCCAAGGCCAGCTGGGGAAGGTGTCCAGGCTGGGCCTCAGGAGGCCCTGCACCTCCTCCTGTGGGAGCTGGTGGTTGAGGGGTGTGGAAATGGCCTCTCGGGATTGGCCAGGGGACAGAGGGGTCACACCCTGGGTTCTGGGGGTCCCTGGTGTAGAAGCTCAMGTCTGAGGACTCAGGTGGCCTGCCTGCTGTTCCCTTGTAAATTGCCTTTCTGCCAAGGTGGGGTCAGGACGGGGTCAGGGAAAGATCTAGAGAAACCTTGAAGACCTTCTTAAAACTTCTATGAGATGCAGAGAGCGCCCAGGGGAGGGCAGAGCGAGGAGCTCTCTCTAAAAACCTGTGTGTGGGGGGGGGGGAAGGAGACGTTGATGGTGGAGAAAAGGGAAAAAGGAGAAAAGGGAAAGAAAGAGGGAGAGGAGGAAGCGGGAGGGGAGGAGGAGGGAGGGAAGAGGAGAACAGGATGGAAGAAAACAAGGGGAAAAGCGAGGTCGCCCCAGGGAAAGGAGGCGGTGGCCGAGCGAGCAGGGGCAGGGAGGGGAGGGCCTGCGGAGCGCGGGCGCCGGTCACTGGTCACTGCGCCCCGRGCTGGCGTGGCCTCCCGTCGGGCCTGCGCTCCAGCTTCCGGTCCTTGCGCGGCCGCCCGTCCTTCCGGCCCTTCTTCTGGCGGGGGCTTCGTTCTGCAAGAGAAGCGCGGGCCTGTCTGTCCGTCTGATAGACCTGATGGACGGGGCGCCCTGCCCAGGCCCCAGGGTGGGACACTCGGGCTCCGGCCTGCAGGGGGCGCTGTCCCCGCAGCGCAGCGGCTGGGGGCGGGGGGTGGGGGGAGGGCTGATCTGCGGGGAGTCCCTGCGCTAGCGTCAAGGACGTCCCCAGTTAGGCCTCAGGGTGGCATCTCGGTGGTCTCTGGGTGCCCCCTTGACCCTTGCACGGGTGTCCACCTACTGTGGACGGGCTGTGTGYTGGAGACAGCACCCGTAACCATGTCCCCAGTCACCCCCAACAAGGGGCAGCTTCCTGGTTGACCCCCGAGTCCCACCCCCTGGATGTCTAATGTGAACATCCTACTGTATGGGGCGGGGGGTGGCCGAGGCACAGCTAGGAGGCCAGTGGCACACCCTGAACCGGAGTTTCTGGAGTCCAGTCCTGTGCTTTTCCTTCTAGGTGGCACACTAGGGCAGAGGGGACAAACTGAGTGACCATCCACCAGATGTGGGAGACACGGACATAGTCCGAGCATGCGCTCTTTAAGAGCATAAGGGTTTGGGCGTCTCTGCTTCCTCTCCTCCTGGCCAGCCCAGTGCCGGCTGATGAACTTGATGACCTTGACCTTGGAAGGGAGCCCCCTTCCAAGGGCAAACAACAGACAGGATGAGGGGAGGGCAGGGTATTCCTTTGGTGTCATCTGAGTGCCCATCTTCTCTCAAGTCAGGGCCAAAGCTCCAGCTCCAACTCACCTCTCCGCAGGGCAGTGTCAGGGTCACKTGCTTAGACTGGGCGGGCCCCTCTCTGGGGCTCCCACACCCACTGTGAGTGCTCAGGGCCACTGGAGCCAGGCTCCCACTCTCCGCTGCAGGCTGTTAGGGCTGGGGTGAGCACAGCATCTGGGGACAGGCGTGGTGGGCCCCCTTGCTGGTTTGGAGGTGGGGGAGCTGGGTGGTTGGTTTGGGTCCTCATCCTGACAGCTGCCCCTAGCCCATTGGTTCATGCACCCACCTGCCCATCCCCCACCCTCCCCACCCAGCCAGCAGACAAAAGTTAACTGGACACCTACAGGCCCCATCTGAGGCACGAGAGAGATGTCTGTGCACAAGGTGGGCAAAGACTTGCTGTCCTTGGAAACCGTGGTCTGGTGAGGACACGGGCTGCCACGGAACCAGCAAGGCTGCTTCAGAAAGGTGTTTATGCCCTGGTGTGAGGGACGGGAAATGACACCTGGGTGGGGGACCTAGAAGAGTTCTCTGCAGAGGAGGCATCCAAGCAAAGACCCAGATGGTTCAGGGAGCCACCATGGGTCATGAGAATCCAGGGAGCCGGATTTACCAGGTGCAGCCCCCAGCATGTGGCCAGTGCGGTATGCCTGTCCCCGCTGCTGCTGCTGCTGCTGCTGTGGTCATCCAGGGAAGAGCTCTCTGCTTGCAGCCCCAACAATCCATCAGCTGTCAGCTCTCAGATCCGTGTGAGGTTTAGCCACAGTCATAAGGGCTGTACAGAACTGTCGTCTGTCTGTCTGTAAGGCTGCTTCCCTGGATCTGGGGTATCCTCCTTTCTTTGGTCCTGTCTCCATCTCACAGTCACAAGTCTTTCAGAAACCAGGGGTGTCCTGGGGTTCGGATCCTGGTTCCACCCTGTCCCGGCAGTGTGCCCTGAGTGGCCTGCATCGGGTCTCTCACCCTTAACCATGATGTTAAATTCCTCTTTGCACGCACTGATCTRTGTTGGAATTCCAGGTCTACCTTCACCTGACAGGGAGGCCCAAGTGACTCAACCTCTCTAGCTAGGTCTCCATCTCCTCATCTGTCAAAGGGGCATATTTAGAATACCTACCTCATAGCATCATTATGTAGGTTAAATGAGTCAACAACTGTAGAAAAAATTAGTGCAGTGGCCTGGTACGTAGTATAAGCACAGTTAACATTGCCAATTCCCTATTATTGGTGTCCACTGTCACATATGCCCTCCACCCCTGCACCCCCTCTTCTGTTTAAATCCGTGGTTCCTAATGCCTGCCCCCAGGATTTGGAAATCTGTGCAGGGTGTTGGCTGCCTCAATGAAGGGGGTCCCACGGCATTCAGTGGACAAGGATGGGGGTGCTGCATGGGCAGTGGTCCCCTATTTCCGCTCCACCCTCATGTTGCTCAGAACTGAGCTGCTTCATGTGAATGCCGAGCATCGGTGACACTTTTTCTCGTGGAATATTCTAGGACTGTCTGTGTGGCATCAGACAGTGTGATTTTCCTCATCACTGGTCCCCATTTGGGAAGCCACAACTCTAATGGCCAAGTGCACTCTCCAGAGACACTGGCCACAGCCGTACCCGCACTCTGATTCTACTCCCCGAGTGTCCTCTCCTATGCGGGGCCAAAGTGCTTCCATCACGGAATTTCTTTTCTTTCCCTTTTATACTCCAGTTAGGGAACTACGCGGATATTCCAAAAGTGTCAGTGGGTCACATTATCCATGAATTTCATTTCAGATCAGTAAACACCAGGTTCCAAAGTCCGAGTGATGATTGAAAGGGGAGTGGTCAGTGGGGAAGGGCTGAGTCATCTTAAGGAAGGCGTGGCTGCTGGAGGACTTCACCTGGCTTTGCAGGTACCATCTGTGGGGACAATGTCTCAAGGCCACTTGACATCACCCTGCACTCACCCACAGTCAGCCCTGCACTCACCTCCTGGGCAGGGCCTCTGGAGGGGACATTTCCTTGACTCAGACAGCAGCTGGCAGGTGGCCGTCTCCTCCTGCCCAGCCCGGCCAGCCTCTCGCACTCGGGTCTCCAGGCCCCAGGTGGAGCCACAGGTCTTCCCATTGTGCGTGCAGGGGCTCCAGCTGCCCCAGGGGCCTAGTTCACACTCCTCTGCGGGGCGAAGGGAGAGACAGACAGACAGACAGATGAGGCCTCTGAAAGCGAGCGCCCTCCAGTCCCAAGGTAGGGTCTAGGGTTCTGAGGACACCATCTCCATCTGCATTGGCTCAGTCTGTCGCTAGGAATGGAGGGACACATTCAAAAATATTTTAATATTCTAAAGAGCCTGGGATGAAGCATGTGGAGGCTTGCGGAGCCTGCTCTGGGCCCAAAGCCAGAGAGAGAACCTTGTGGTTTTGAAAGAGGCACCCCAGGGGAGGTGACACGCTGCAAAGCCCTGGCCCCCCGTGCTGGAAGCCTGGTGGCTAGAGTGGGGGTGAAGGTCCAGAGGGGCGGGCAGAGATGGGGCTGGAGGCTGGCTGGGAAGCCTTCCAAAAAAGACACGGGCTTTGCACCTGATCACCTGCCTTCCATCAACCATAAYGTAGAAGCTACCCAAAGCTGCTGTGAGGGAAAGTCAGGTGACGGACATGCACTTCTTAATAGAGGTGATTTATTCACACATGCACATGCGCATGTGCATACACAYGCTCACAGTTCTTTTTTTCACATTTGACTTGGAGGAGACACAGAACACAGGAGGTAGTTGTGAGTACCCCCATTTTGCAGACGGGGACACTGAGGCCTGGAGTAGTAAAGGGCTTTGGTTGGGGCTCTCGCACAGCAGGTTTGAGATGCAGCGGGGCCCAGAAAGCAGGTTTCCAGAACCTAGGATGTTGGTCCCGACACTAGATACATTCTGTGACGAGTCCAGAGTGCCCATGTGCCACTCCAGTGCCGTTGTGGGCAGAGGGCACACCCAGTCTGCCTCCTGGAAACTGTCACCAAAGACATCAGGCCAGGAGGGCCACATGCTCAGTGCACCAGGGAGGCACAGCCAGCAGAGGGGACGCGGGTCGCAGCCTGGGGGACCAGGAAGGCTTCCTGGAGGGGCTCCTGAACTKAGTCATTAAGTGGCACGTTGTGGGGAGGGCAGGAGATGCTCCAGGTAGAGGGATAATCCCAGCGAGGTCCCCAGGGTGATTCCACCCGGGAGACTCTCCTAGAACGGGCAAGCTGGAGCCCGAACAGAGAGGAGTCGAGTGAGGGAAGGGGAGAGGCTCCAGAAGGGGCCAGACTGCCCAGGCTAGGGCGTGGATGTTCTGCCCAAGGTCAATGGGAGCCACAGAAGGGCCTTGAGCAGGAGAGAAACCTGAACAGACTATCGCCTTGAAACAGTCACCCTGGCAGGACAGGGAGCCAAGGGAGGGAGATGGCAGAGGGTGGAGATGTGGGAGGTGGAGGTGGAGTGGGGGTCAAGGGTGACAGGTGGGCGGGTTTGGGGGCTTTCTGCTGCTTCAGATTTTCCTCTGAACTTCTGCCACCAACATATCATGCACTTGTTCTCCTGTCTCCCCGCTGAGAGACCCGCCCATGAGAGCAGAGGCTGCTTTGCTGACTCAGGTCCTATCACTTAGGAAAGAGCCTGGCCAGGGCAGGTGCACTAGTGATTCCTAGGTTGAGGGGAGGGTGACGCCTGGGTCAGGGGCGTGACCACCAAGGACTCTTGGAGCTGCTTACTGATAGAAGGAACCCAGGGGAAGCGCAAGCTGGGAACAGGGAATGAGGAGGAGCCTCCAGAGGGGCGGGAAATAGGGAGGAGCCTCCAGAGGGGCGGGCAAGGGAAGAGTCTCCAGGGGGCGGGCAATGGGGAGGAGCCTCCTGAGAGGTGGGGAAGGGAAAGGAGCCCCTAGAGGCAGGTGGGCTGTGGGGCTGCTGCTCAGGGGGACAGGGAGTCGGGAGCCCTCTGCGGCTGGAAGGACCATGACCTTGTGCCCGGGGACGTGCGGGCAGAGATGCCTGGTTCCGGTCAGAATGCCAAGGCACAGCCCGGGRTAAGGGCGGACCACTGCAGGGTTTGAGAAGCTGCTGTCAGTGAGTAAACGGAGCAGCGATAATAATGACACTAGCATGCACCGGGCTTGTTAAGCCCCAAGTCGCAGCAATACATTTAATGTTCGTAACATTTAACTCATTTAATTCTTCAGCCCTCTCCGTGGGGTAGGTTCTGGATTCTACCGTGATTTTCTTTTTTAACCTTTGGAGAAATCAAGGGACAGGGAGCATAGTGACTTGCTTGAGCTCACTAATGGGCAGGTTTTAAAGCGGGCGTTTGATGGAGATCTGTTTGATTCCCAAACTGTAGCTCTCCCCAGATCACCCGCCTCAGTGGTGCTGGGCTCCCATGGCCACGTGGCCTTCTGCCATGTTAGCTTCCTGGTCTCTGGACTCCTCTCCCCACGCCCTGCTCCAGGGGCCCCACTCACCCTGGCACTCCCGCGTGTTCTGGTGGGTCAAGGTGCCTGGTGGGCAGCTGGGCAGGCACTTCCCCTTGTACAGGTAGAACCGCCGCTTGCACCGGATGCAGAAGTCCTGGCTGAAGCAGCTCTCACAGGTGGCCCCACATTCTGTAACAGAGTCAGGGACAATCCCTGTGAGGACCGCTGTGGGCGGGGGACCTCGTGAGTCTGCCTGAGCAGCCCCGGGTTAGGTGACACTGGCTCAGGACTCCTTTCCCAATTTGAGCTAATCCCAGAGAAGGTGAGTAATTGCCTAAGGCCACACAGCAAACTAGAGCAGGAGTCACAGGGGATTGGCTGGCGTAGGGCCTCAGAGACTGTCTGGAACCAAGCAGGGATCCAAGTTTGGCCTCAGGCAGATTCCAGCTCCCCTCTGGATGTGCTGGGGGACAGGGTGGGACAGCACTGCCCAGAAGCCCACCTCCAGCCCAGGACGAGAGAGGATCCACGTACTTTTGCACCTGTTGACTTCCTGGCCGCGGATGCCGAAGAAGCCCAGGGGACAGTCGTGCACGCACTTGCCATACTGGCGGATTCCTTCCCGGCGGATGAACAGGAAGAGCCTCTGCTGGCAAGTGGAGCAGCCATTCTCCTCCGAGCAGATGACACAGCCGGTGCAGTTACCCCCCAGGCCAGTGCCCACTGCCAGCCAGACCAGGGAGGAAGGAGGAGGAGAGGGAGAGAGATGGTCAAGCCATGTATGAGCAGCTCAGACGGTCTCCTTGGGGTACTAACTGGGCGCATGGTACCCTAAGAAAAGGCTACGTTTCCCAGCTTCCCAAATGTGGCCATGGAGTGTAAGGTAAAGCACTGTGCATCTAGAAAGCCGCCSTAAAGAACGAGGGGGTGCCCTTTTGACATCCCCTCATCTTGTCTATTGGGTGGAATGCTGTAGGAGACCAACCTTAACCATGACTGAGTCACACTCCTTGGCTGGGTGCTGAGGCGCTCAGTCACAGAAATGTGGCAGAGCTTTCCCCACCCTTCTTGGGTCCGAGGGTCGGTGTCTCAAGCATGGGTGTGTCCTGCTACAGCCCCATGGGTGAAGCTACTACGATCACCTGTTCCTTTGTAATATAACCCCTTGCCCTGTTTAGAATAGAATCTTCCATGGAGGTGCCTTGTGTGTGTCCCCTTCCTTTACTGTGYCCTTGGGTGTGGCCTACCCAGGTGTCARTCAACCTACTGACAGTGGACATCATGAAGAYAGACTCAGCCCCCTGAAACCTGACCCCTTGCCTCATTTGAATAGCTTCTCCTCAATAAAAGGGGTCAGCGTGTGCTYTCTCTCTGTCTCTCTTCCTGCGGACCCTTAAGGTCAGAGGAACCATCATAGCAACCCCAAAGAAAAAGGTATTTGTGTCTCTCGTGTGGTTATTCTGTGCAGCCCAGTTAGCCCAGTTTAACTGGAGTGACCCCTGAGCCTTTTAGTCGCGAGAACAGAAACCCGGCAGAATGTGAACATGGTGGTTGGAGCACGAGCAGTCATTTTGGATCCCTGCCCTGAGGGTGAAATCCCTGCCCTGAGGATGATGGAGAAGCAAGATCAAAAGAGCCTGGACCACTGAGGAAGGCAGGACTCCTGTACCAGCATGACTGTGGGGCATCTGCAAGGAGGTGCTGGCCTCTTCTGCTCCARCTGGACCTAAGCCTTTCAGATCTGTCTCCTTTCCACACCTTTTTGAGCACAGAAAAGTGGCCAGGAGAAAAGGGCAGAGATGAGAGCAGAGACAGCAGCAGCAGAGGCCGCCTGACTTTCAGGGAAGGCACAAARGGGCTCTTGGTGGCAAGGGCACCTTAGAGGAGCCAGGCTTGCATGGCTTCTGCTGCTGCCTCACACAGGCTGGTGGCTGGCAGGTGCCCTGCAGAAAGAGGCAGCGGTGTAAGCCCCTGGGGGTAGGAGATGGGGGGAAAGTGAAGGACAGGTGGTTTCCTACAGGAAGCAACTGAGGGAACATGAAACAGCTTCATGTTCACCCCCCACCAAGGCCACACTGTTTAATGAGCTGATCATACCCCACAGCTCCCTGGTGCCACCCAGCAGGGGACATTCTTAGCTCTTGCACTCTCAGCCTCTCTCCCGTCCCTCCCAGCGCCCCATCTTCCCTGTGGAGGCATCCCCCTGGGTGCCTGTCCCTGGAGCAGGAACCAAGGAGGCCCGGCCCTTCCTCAAGTCAGCAGAGGGTGGTTCCTGGTGTGGCCAGGACACACAGGGACGGGGTCCATGCTGGGGGCAGAGCAGGCTCTCAGCCCCATACCTGTCTGGGACCTCTGTCTCCCCTCTCTGTCCCTGGGATGAGCATGGCCTTTCCCAAACCTGATCTTCAGCTCTCCCGAATTCATGAGCCCCCCAACTGATGCTGCTGATTACCTCATTTCTGTTGTTTGCAACTGAGAAGCCTGACTAAGGCAGACAGACACATACAGTAACTAATATGCACCTTCATTCTCTTGCTCTAGAAAGAAAAACTCTTAACAGGAGGGTAAAGTGGTTTTTTTGTTTTGTTTTGTTTTGTTTTAATCTCCCAAACTGTAGGCCTGCAGGGCCCTGAGAACAAAGAGAAAGTGTGACGCTTTTGAAAGAGGGATTCCCAGGACCCGAGAGAACCACATCCACAGATTTTAACAGAGCCCAGTCTTTTCTTCCCACTCACTTGGCAACACATTTTAAATTCTGTGATACCAAAGACGGCTCAGGACAAGGGGAACTCCTGCTTCTGATAGGCATGGAAACTTTGGGGAAAAATCTAGCAGTGTCTAGTAACTAGAAGACGTGCCTCTTCAAATACAGCAATTCTACATCTGCTATAACCCTTAGCACATCACTAGCTCCTACCTGCAGAGCACAGAGTTCCTCCCTGGAGCACTGATTCCGCAGGTCTTCAGAGGGGCCTGGGAATATGCATTGCTATCAGAATCCCAGGTGATCTAATCCGCTGGTCCAGGGATCAATCACACTTTGAGAATCACTAGGCTGGAGAAACTCTTTTATATGTGCACAAAGATACATGTACAGAGATGTTTACTGCAGAATGGTTTAATAGCAAACAATTGTGAAAGATGAACCCTCCAGCAAAAGAATAAATTCTTGGTGGTGTAGTCACATACCACAATCCATACGCCACATACACAACCCAGTCACGATAAATGACTGAGGTAGAGTTACAGTTATCATTGTGGCCCCAACTCAAAAACATGCTGAAAGGAAAAGCAACTTGCACCATGAATCACGCAGTAAGGACCATTTCTATCAAATTCAAACGGCTGCAGAACCACACTTTGTAATATTTGTGATACAGAAATGTGCGTGGAGAGTAAAAACCACATAAGGGRTGAACACACACTGAATTCAGGATGGTGGCACCTCTGGGGCCAGGCATCGGGTAAGGGATGGGAAAGATGACTAGGGATTTCGTTTTATCTGTAATATTTCATTTCTTAAAATCAGACGCAACAGTGAATTTTCATTAATTTTTTTTATTCTTCACTGTAGGTATGAAACAGTTCACAATAAAAATCCTCTTAAAGGAAAAGCATTTAGCCCCTCAGGCGCCCTTGAGCTGGGGACGACCACTTTCTTCCCCAGATCCCCAAGCCAAGCTCTGCCCCATCCTCAAGCTGAGATTTGGGGCAAGGGAAGGGGGCCAATTCTGGAGAGTGGGTACTGCACTAGGTGTCCCCTGTGTTCCTTCTCCCTGTCCGTCTAAGGAACGGAACCCCGATTTCTAGCSGGGTTCACGCAGTTCAAGAAAGACTCCATTTCCCAGGCTCCTTTGCAGCTACACGTAGTCACATGTCTTAACTCTGGCCAATGGGAGGCGAGTGGGCGTGTCGMGGCAACCCCAGGAAACCTTTGCGCTCTCTGCTCCTGGCTTCTTCTGCCGGTCCCTTGCAGGGTCGGTAGCCAGAGACGCGGCAGATTTGGGGGTACAAGGGCCTTACAGAACTTTGTCTGAAACTGTCCCTTCCTCGCCCTCCTCTCCCTTTTGCCTTCCGCCCCTCCTTTGTGCTGAAGAGAAGCTCTCCCTCAGGTTTCAGTTAACTGGCCGAGGGGGTCAAAGGTCCCCACAAGAGGACACACCCACCTCGGGATGACCGAGGCCCCGCCCAGGACATAGCCTTTCTGTTCGCGGTACCTCTTTTTTGTCTTAAAAAGTGTTTTGCGCCCTGAGTCCCCAACGTTAGAGATTTGGGGTGAAAACAAGCCCCTCTATCTTCTCCAGGGCTTTGAATAAGACCCTATTTCTTCCACCAACTCCTAGCTCCCGGATTTTTGGTCGCTACAAAAATAGCGAGCAGCAGAGAYATATGATTGCCACAACATCACGGTGCAATTCCACCAGCCTGGGACTGCTGCTGCAGAGATTCTTTCATGGGACTGGGAGGAAAGCGTGGTCATCCTGTTTGGGTTACTGGGTCTTTGTGACATAGAATGATTGATGGCAGGTCAGAGTGACATCAGTGGGGACCAGGGTGCCCTCCTCGGTGCCTCAGCAGTGTGTATGCCCCCTGGAGCCAAGATGCTCCAGGGCACTGACAACGGGCAAGGGTTCCCGTGATTGACTTGAGGTGATCTCTGTCACCCCGCAGAACAGGAGTTCAAATTAACGTTCAGTTGTAGAAAAACAAGGTGGTGTTTCCTGCAGACTGAGTTCGTGGACCGAGATGCCATGACATGGGTGTGTTGGCCATTTTTGCAGCTGAGAAAATCAGGCTCAGGGAGGTAAAATGCCACCCTGGGTCATGCAGAATCAATTGGGGCAGGGTCCCAGATCAGTCTGCCCCACGGAGCTCTCCTGGAGCATTTCGGGCAGAGCCTGGGGCAGCARGGGTGAGCCACCCAGGGCCTCTGACCCCAGACTCACAACCCGATGGGAAGGACACAGAAGTGATAGCAAAGAGGCTGAGCTAAGGGCCCCCAGATCAGGACAAGGCAAAACTGTTACATTGCTTAAGAGGTTAAGTATCACTCAGCCTGATCCCTGCAATTTCACTGGGGACCCAGTTGAAAGGGGTGCAGCCTTCCCCAAGGAAGCCCCAGTTAGGCCACAGCACTATTTATGGAATGGTGACTCAACGTGCTGAAGGCAAGAGACTAATTAAGACTTTTCTTTGACCTCGGAGGGTATCAGTTTGCGCATGCGTGTGTGTGCGCGCGCGCGGGATGGATCTTAACATTTTGAAGGGAGGTGGCTGTCTCCTGCTGCATCCTTGGCCTGGCAGTTGGTAGGGTGCCCTCTAGTGCCACCAAGTTGTAATGGCATCTCTGACAACTGAGTTCAACAACCAGAAACCTCCCGGGCTCCAAAAGATGGCCTTACTCGGGCCTTTTATCCCATCTCTGTAACTCATTAGAAAACCCCAATGATATCCGCCCAGGGTCAGGGTGTAGCTGTCATTATTTTGATAAGTGATGACAACTAGAATTCGTACAGTACTGCTCTAGAAAGATCCAAACTCAGTGGTTCTTCAGTTTGATCATGCATCAGAATCCTAGGGAGGTTCACAAAGTATCTGGTTTGGGTCTTGGAATGTGCATTTTAACAAGCCCCAAATAAATGTAATAGGTATCTGAGAGATGTCTTCTCTGATCAGTCTCCCTGCCTTGAGAACTGGTGCTAGCAACCATGCTTGTATTTTAT